TTTGGAAAGAGCTGTCAGAACTTGTATAATTGACCCTGGGTCTAAAATATACGGACATATAATTCTCTTGATTGGGATAGATTCTGTATCCTTCTTTTTCTTTTCCTTTTTTTCATGTACAAATTTTATATGTTGTTTTGTGAGGAATCATGCATGCTAGGCAAATCTCTTACCACTGAGCTACCTCTCCAGTCTCCAAATTCAGTACCTTTCTTTTTTTTTTTTTTTTGTCTTTTTGGGACAAGGTCTCACTATGCAGTTCAAGCTGGCCTTCAGCTCACTTTGTAGTCCAGGCTGGTCTCGAACTTGCAACAATCCTCCTGCCTCAGCCTCCTGAGTGCTGGGATTACAGGTATGTGCCACCATGTCTGGCTGGTACCTTTCTATGTTAAAAAAGTTCCTATGTTCCGGAAATTTCTTTAGCTTATATATTTGAAATCATTGCCTTTTTGGGTTAAAGCAGTATTTAGTGAGACAGTGTGGAGAACCCTACGGTGTTTGCTTTGTTATTGATCCTTAAACATCTGTGCGATGCGAGAATTCCTTTGAAAAAGAAATGAGAAACTCGCACGAATGAAAATATTAATTAGTTTGGGTGTGGTGGTGCATGGCTGTAGTCCCAGCTACCGGGAGGCTGAGGCAGGAGGATCATAAGTCCAACGCCAGCTTAGGCAACTTAGTGAGACCCTATCAAAAAAAAAAAAAAAAAAAAAAAAGCTGGACGTGTAGCTCAGTGGTAGAGCAATTGCCTAACATGCATAAGGTCCTGGGTTTGATCTCTAGCACCCCCGAAAAAAAGTTTAGGTTAGGTAGGAGTGCTTTAACTATGGGTGGTGGCACTATTTATGTGTTCTTAAATGTTGTCAAAATGCTAATATAACATTCTCAAGCCTCAACCTGTGATGAAGACTTTCAAGTAGAACACGCACTAAAATAGCAGGGCAGGAGTCTTAGGCGCTATGGCACCGTTTCTCATTCCCAGTGACTCGCTGGGACCCCTGGGGACTTCTAGTTCCCTTTGATGGCCTTGATTTTTTCCCTGCAGGTCTCGGGAGTCCCTGATTCTTCTCTCTACTCTGCCACCTGGTGGACTCGTTGGGAATTGCGCCTTCTACTGAGAGCCCAACTCACCCACTTATCTAGCTGTTACTTTAGTGGGGACGCGGTAGGGGAATAGCAAGGAATTCTCCGTAGCAGAGTAACGACGCACAAGGGGCCTTGTTCTTTCGTCTTCTAGAGCTGCTCACTTTGGAGCAGGAGCCCCAGGGGCCAAGCTGAAGGGCATTTGAAAGGCGCTGCCCGCATCACAGCAGAGGGATCTCTGCACCCGGGTCTCTGCGTCCCAGGGTGTGGTACAGGAGTAATTCTCAGGGTCATTGCTCCAGCCCGTTAGAGAAGTGACACAGGCTTCCTTAGAGCTTACAGTCCAGGGGAGGAGATTGAGTAAGAAAAGTGAATACAACATGAATTATAGTGAGTTCTAGGAGATGAACAGCAAGGGTGGTGGCCCTGGGGGAGGAATTTTGACCAAGTAGGCAGGGGAGAACAGGCTCGCCTGAGCGGGAGAAATTTGAAATTGAAACCTGGCCGGGCGTGCTGGCTCACGCCTGTAATTCCAGCAGTGGGGAGGCTGAGGCAGGAGGATCGTTGCAAGTTCGAGGGCAGCTTGGGCTACAAAGTGAGCTCAAGGACAGCTGCACAGCGAGACCCTGTCTCAAAAAGAAAAAAAAGAAAGAAAGAAAGAAAGAAAGAAAGAAAGAAATTGAAACCTGAAGAATGAGAAGGTAATGATTGTGAAAAGAGCATGTGTAAAGGTCCTGAGATAGGGAGGAGCTTGTTACATTGAAAGTAGCTAAGTGATTGTGGTGAGCCGGAAGGGAGTGGTCTGAGTAGGGCCAGAGAGGCGCGGAGGTACGGAGAGCCCAGGGCCCTGCGGTGCGTGGGAAGGACTCTGAGTTTTTGATTCCAGTGGGAAGAGGTGGGAGGAGCGCTGGGAGACCCGCGGGAACCCAGAGCAGAAGCAGTGAGGGAGACTGTGGCCTCCGCATCTGGCATCAAAGCCCCGAGCCGCGGGGACTGCTGAGAGCTGGAAACGTGAATGAGCAATGTGTAAGACAGATTCTGAAAGCTTGCTGTAAAAAAGGCACAACATCGTGAAGTAAACTGTGTATACTGGTTACACGGTGTAATACTATTTTGGATAACTCATTCTGTTAAATAAAATATTTAAAAGTTAATCTTTTTGAAAACCCTGTAAAACTGTGGCTACCTGGAAATTTTTGGAGGATAATTTTATAGACAGGGTCTCACTCTGTAGCTCAGGCTGGCCTTGAATTCACTATATAGCCCAGGCTGGCCTCAAACTCACTGGCAATCCTCCTGCCTCAGCCTTGCGAGAACTGGGATTACAGGTATGCAGCCCCGTGCCTGGCTGGAAAATCCGAATTATCTATGTGGCTTGTGTCTGTGGCTTGTATTATGATTTTATTGGCCATCCCTGACACCGACAAAAATTCCTAAATTAGAAAAATACTTCTAGAGTCACATTAGAAATTCCTAGTTAGGGGTAGAATTTTTTTCCTGGCTCATGGAAGGTGTTTATTTGATATAACAAAATAACACAGTGTTCCATTCAACCGTGAAGAGAAAAGGAATGTAAAATATGAATATATGTATAAAAATAATATACGTATTAAAAACTAAAATAATGGTCTTAAAATTCCTTAGTTCTTAAGATATATATGAAACCAGGAGGATTTTAAAAACACAGAGTACATAAAACCAAAGGCCGAATTGAATTAACATGTGAGGGAATTTGCTAACAATGTCTGATTTTCTTTCTGGTGTACAATCTGCTCAGACTATCTGTATACCGGCTGCGTGGGCAGGACGTTTTGGTTTGGTATCAGTTACACAGCATTAGCATAAACTCTGACAACTACAGATCAGGTTTTCTTTTCTTTGGAACTGGCAAAGTGGCCACAGAAACATCAGCTCATTTCTCCACAGAGCTTTATCCAAATTTATGTTACATTCCTTCCAGATCTACTTTTAATATATTGAATAATGTGATATGGATGGACTGAGGGTTGATTGGTCCTGGGGATCAATCCCAGGGATACTCTACCACTGAGTTATATCTCCTACCTTTTTTATTTTTTAGTGTTTTTTTTTTTTTTTTCCTTTTTTGGTCTTTTTGAGACAGGGTCTTCCTCTGCAGTTCTGGCTGGCCTTGAGCTCACTTTGTAGCCCAGGCTGGTCTCCATTTCGCAACGATCCTCCTGCCTCAGCCTCCTGAGTGCTGGGATTGCAGGCGTGCGCCACCACGCCTGGCTGTTATATTTTAGTTTTGAGACAGGCTGCTGCCACATTGCCTAGGTTGGCTTTGAGCTTGCGATCCTCCTGCCTCAGCCTCCCAAGCAGCTTGAATTGCAGCAGTGTGCCACTACACCTGGCTCATGTGATGTTTGTAGATGAGGAAGACTTCAGCCTGTTGAGATTTGCTTATCTTTACAAAAATAGCCTTATGTCTGGTATTTGGCTGCCTACCATCTTACTGACAGATTCTGCATGCAGTGCTGGAAAGGTGAAAGGATGTTTCTTTCCACAGTTTGGGAGATTCTGGTCCACACTATCAGTTGACTTCGTTATATATTTATTTATTTATTGGTCTGTTTGAGACAGAGTTTCACTATGGAGTTCAGGCTGGCTTTGAACTCACTTTGTAACCCAGGCTGGCCTCAAATTCTCAGCAATCCTCCTGCCTCAGCCTCCCGAGTGCTGGGATTACAGACGTGCGCCGCCGCTCCCAGCGGCTCCATTGTTTTGAGCCTGTGGCAAGGCAGCTCATCGTGGAGTGTGTGGTAGAGTAAAGCTGCTTCATCACCAGCCCGGGAGTGAGACAGAGGGAAGAAAGATCTGGGCTCCCATAACCCTCGCAGGGAACACCTGCAGTGACCTTGGGCTCCTCTTTAGGCCCCCAATCGTAAAGGTTTCACCACCTCCAAAAAGTGGTCCCCTGGCCATGTAGTCCAGGCTGAACTTGAGCTCACTATGTAGCCCAGGCTGGCCTCAAACTTGCAGCGATCCTCCTGCCTCAGCCTCCTGAGCACTGGATTACAGGTATGCACCACCAAGCCCACTGTAGGTTTGAAGACAGAAGCCTTAGGCTTTCCCTCAGCACCCACTGTGTGAGCTTGAATTTTATCACTCATCTCTGGATCTCACTTCCTCTATCTGTGAGGAGGAGACCGATATAAAGGAGCAGGCACAGGTAACATGGGGTTTACAGCTTGTCCCTCAGGTTTTCCACACTCTACGAGGCAGGCGCTGGAACCTTTTCACAGAGGGGAAGACAGGTTCAGAGAGGTGAAGTGACTTACCTAAAGATACAATGCTAGTAAGAGGTGAGGATGGGATTTGAACTCTGGTCTTTTAGCCTCCAAAGTCAGCAGAAAAAAACTTTTCCCCTCATGATTCCTCTTGCTAGTTTCCCTGCCTCACTTTGAAATTACTGGGGTGGGGGGAGGTTCAGACTAGATCGATGACTGGCTTTGCAAAAATGTGGTGGTAAAATATGCAAATGTAAGGGATGATTAACAGTGAAACAAGCTGGGCTTGCTGGCACACACCAATAATCCCAGTACTTGGGAGGCTGAGGCAGGAGGATCACCAGGAATTCAAGGCCAGCCTGGACTACACAGAGTGAGATCCTGCCTCAAAAAAACAAAAACGAAAACCAAAAACCTCAGTGAAATGAAAAGCTACAAATAAACAAACACTCAGAAGCTACCGTAAGAACGTATTAGATCTGTCTACATGAATCTAATATTACATGCCGCTTTCTCAAAGCCATCTCTGGAAGTTATTTCCTTCCTCAGGGTGAAAATGCAAGGAATTTGGAGGAAAACATTTTAGCAGTCATTCTTGCGAGCACAGTGTCACACACACTTAGCATCACACAGCGGGTCCTGCTAGTCAGAGTATAAACAAGTGCTGAGCCGGATGCGGCGTCCTCAACAACACCGGCTCAGCACGAGAACTCACTCAGCTGCAGGCCGAGAGAGCGGGCGTCAGGATGGAGAAATTGCTCGTGCTGGTCCTCGCCGGCGCCGTGCTGGTTTTTGTGTCAGGTGGGAACCCGCTCCAGAAGCAGTCTATTTCTATTCTAGGCCAATATGACAAACTGAAATAGTAGAGTATTTGGTACTTTTTTTCACATGTCAAATAATATATAGTATATATTGCATAGATATTTTAATATATAGTATATATTGCATAGATATTTTAGTGCTTTTTGTTTTTTTTTTTCCTATAAGATCAGACTTCTAGGATTACTATCATGGGGGGTAAATGATTATTATTCATTTATTTTCAGTGGGGGTGTATCAGGACTCGAACTCAGGACCCTGTGCTCACCAGGCAGGCGCTTGTGTGGCTGAACTATATTCCTGACCCAAATTATTACTATTTTTTTTTTTAAAAAGTCTTTAAATGTATTTGAGCACTCATGGAGTACTAACCAGTCAAAAATACTGTTACCTCCTCAACTCTGCGGGTCATAGCAGATCACCAAAATTTAATGTGCTTTGATCATGTTAATATTTTTTGAGCATTTGCGTGTGATCCCCAAGACAATTTAATTTTATTAGCATAGTCTCCTCTAGGAGGGGTGTAGTGATGACCAAGTTTAATGCGATCTTGTGGCTGGGAATCTCCACACTTGATTTTGTCCACGGAGGATTTAGAGAAAAGAAAATCCCACTAACGCAAAGCTGAGGAAAGAAAAACACAGACCAGAAAACTGAGAAAATATATTTAAAGTAAATTCATGCTAACTTGTGAAGGAATGGGCCGTGGGAAGAGGGAAATAGATTTAAATTGTGCAGCTTTTTTTCCTTAACCATAGGAGAAACGATTGGAAACTCCTCTCCCGGCTCCCTGGAATGCCACATCCTTTGGAGCAGGTCTGAGGGAAAGAACTGTTGTGTTTTCACCAAAATCCTACTTTCAAATCCTTTGGCTTGGACTCTGTAGATGGAGCCAGCGGCTGGGGTCTGAGAGGCCCTGAGCACCTTCTTGTGTTTTTCAGAGGCGTCCCCGATTCTGACGGAAAAGGAGGCCAAACAGCTCCTGAGGTCCCGGAGACAGGACAGGCCCAGCAAACCTGGATTTCCCGATGAGCCCATGCGGGTGAGTGTGTGGCCCTGGCCAGGTTAAAGAAGGTGCTGTTAGCCTGGTGTGATAATGCGTGCCTCCAATCCTCTGGGAGGCTGAGGCAGGATGATTGCAACTTTGAGCCCAGCCTAGGCAATTTAGTGACTGAGCAAGACTCTGTCTCAAAGAAGAAAATAAAGGCTGGGGATGTAGGTCAGTGTGAAAGTCCTGTGTCCAATCCCCTCCACTGGGGGAAAAAAAAAAAGGCTACTCTGTGAATGAATGCATGACTGCTCTTTCAGTCTGAATGAACCTGGTGCTGGTCCCAGCATGGACTGCAAGATGGGGGCCCTGTTACAGTCTCAGGTAGAAGTTACCTGTGACCGCAGCCCTTTACCTATGTGTGTTCTCTCCTGGAGGTGCCGGCTCAGCTCACTCACTGTAAGCAGGGTATTTAAAATAGAAATAGTAAGTGTGATAGTCCCAGGGTCCTGATAGGCTCCCGAGATTCACAGGAATGGTTCCAAGGGAGCTGCTCCTGTTGGCTGATGCCAGCGGCCGTGTGTCCAGGCTGGAAGGCTCTGGGGCCAGCGGTGGGTCCCTCTGATTTTGCTCCCTGGGCTCACCGCGGTGCTGAGGGCTCACAGTGTCCCCCTGCCTAGTCTTTTGGAACCATGGGACCCCTTCCTGCCTCTTTTCGGGGTGCCCTCACACTTTGCAAGGCCGGTCCAGCCCAGGTCAGGCCTGGGCCAGCTCCCCCCATGACTGCAGCTGTCCTGACTTATGGGCTATTTCTGCCCCACCCCAGGGAAGGGAGCTGTGACCCCGAATGGGTGTCTCCGTGGTCTAGGCTGGGTCCCTTCTAGAGCTCTCACACCGGCGCCGTCTCAGCCTCTTTCACCGTGTCTCCACGGCTAGGCTCCCGAGGACCTGCAGCCTTGTTTGCCTTCACTAGCTCTGGACTTGGGCATCGTCTGATGTTTTCATTGAACAGGCCTTTCTTATCTTTCTTCTTTTTTTGAGACAGGATCTCGTTATGCAGCTCAGGCTGTTTTAAAAGCACAGTCCTCCTGCCTCAGCCTCCCGAGTGCTGCTACAGCAAATGTGAGCTGCCACACCAAGAAGTGATTCTTTTCAAAATGTGGGGTCACACAGTGATGTCCAGCACTGGCTAGGGTGAGACTGGGCTTGAATTTCCTGATTCCCTGCCCCACCCCGACTTCTTGACTGTGTAAACTTTGGGGAAGTTTCCTTATATTTCAGAACTTTCATACTCTCATCTATAAAATGAGGATACCAGCTGGGCATGGTGGTGCATGCCTGTAATCCCAGCACTCGGGAGGCTGAGGCAGAAGGATTGCCTCAAGTTTGAGGCCAGTTTGGGCTACATAGCAAGACCCTGTCTCAAAAACAAACAAACACACATACAAGAAAACAAACCCAAAAGCCCTAAAATTAGGATAGTAATAACATTTTTATTCATATGCACATTACTGCAATAGCATTATAAAGAATAATATAAAATAACAATTTTATGAAGGTGCAACAAAGTAGTTCCTTATAGAACACTTAGGATGGTGCTCAGCTAGTGGGAGCGGCTCCTCTAAGTAGGAAGGAACAGGTTCCAGGTTGGACGTGAAGTCTCTTAGGTTCTGCTCAGAGTCTGATGGAGACAGTGAGCTGATGCCTGTCATTAAGTGGCTTAAAAGTGAATCAAGGTGCACACCTATAATCGCAGCATTTGGGAGGCTGAGGCAGGAGGATTGCCACAAACTCAAGGCCAGCCCAAAATGTATAATGGGATCCTGTCTCAAAAAACAAAAAACAAACATAAACAAACAAACAAAAGTCAAGGACTTCAGACTGTTCAGGGTGGAGGTGTGCTCTGGGGCAGGAGAAATGGGTGGTTCAGGACACCTAGGTGCAGTGGGCAGGGCCTGGAAGGTGGGCAAGGCCAAGGTCAGGAAGGGTTTGAGCCTCCTGGACTTTATCTTGTGTTGTGGGGAAACAGCGGGAGGACTTTTCACACAGAGGAGCTGAGATGAGCTGGGCTTTAGAGGATGTGCCTTCAGTTGGTGCTAGACTCTGGTCCCTGACCCTTGCTTTGCTGGGCCTGGTCCTTCCCCGGAGCAGAACCCTCCCAGAGCGCCTCCTCTGAGCTCGAGGTCACCACTTGTCTCCTTGCCTCCAGCTCTGTGATTTTGTTGGCTCTCCAGCTGTCTTCCTGCTTGTGCTGCTCTTTTATAGGCCTGACCCCCACCTACTGCTCTCAGGGGCCTTAAACCTGCCTGGCCTGGTTTCTCTGTGACTCCTCGTCACGGGACTGACCGCTGACCCGTCCACCGCTTCCCAGCCCACTCTGCTCTGCGCGGTCCTGCTCATCCTGACGTCGGGTCCTCAGGCACGCAGTCCAGTTGGGAAAAGTGGCCTTGTGACTTTCAGCAAAACACGCGCACAATCGTTTGGTGGCTGGTCTACACCAGCAATTGTCACCCAGGGGTGACTTTGTGCTTCTATGCCTGGGGAGGTTTAACAACGTCTGGAGACATTTCTGGCTTTCACAAGGATGGCAGCAGGTGTGCCTCACGGACGCTGAGAAACATTCCCCCAGTGCCCACAACACACAGTGCTCTGCCTCCACGGTCCGTGGAGCTGACGGTGAGGAGTGCAGACTGCACAATGCCAGACAGCCTCTCTCTCGTTTATTCTGTGGCATTCTCCGCGTCTCTTTCCCACCCACGCGCAATTACACTGATAAACAATGGGTAGATTTTGGTGTAATATTTTTCTAGAGAATATGTTTCTCAATTTTGGCTGGAACCACTTGGGGAACTAAAAATAGCTGATGTCAGAGTCTCACCCCCTGGGGGGTGTCTGCGTGAGTGCACCTGTGTGTGTGCATGTGTGTGTGCGCGTGTGTGTGTGTGTGTGTGTGTGTGTGTGTGTGTGTGTGTGATTAAAGCTTCTTGGAGGCACCAGTGCCCATCAAGGCTAACAACTGACCACAGTGCTGGGCCTTTGGGATTCTGGAGAAATCAACTCATGTGCTCCGGGACCTCATGGCCCGGTCAGGAGCTCAGACACATTCAGAAAACAGTGTCGAAGTGAGCAGGGTGGGGAGCAGGAGTCTTAGCCCCGGAGATTCCATTTAAATAGTGAGTGCTGAGTGCCTGGTGCTGATCCAGATGGGCCCCTAAGTAGATTCTGCACAGACTGTGCCCTTCCAAGCGCCAGGCACAGAGAAGAAAGAGCCGTGAGGTGATCCTCATTCGAGCTGCCCATCGTGTGGAGGCAGAGCCAGAGGGCGCCAGCCTGGGTCCACTTCTCTAATGGGCTACCTGGTACAAGGGACAGTACCTTGTGAAGGGCCGGAGCCTTGAGCTCTACCTGGAAGGACAGGGGGCATGGGAGGGCTTCCCGGGGGAGGTGCCCCCCCCCCCCCGTGGGAACCTGAAGGCCGGGAAGGAGGGCTCAGGCAGTGAGGTGGGTGCAGGTGAGCTGCAAAGATGATTCCACTTAGCGTCAGCCGCCACTTGCCAGCTGTGGACGCTGGGCAGGTCATTTCCTCTTTTGAGAGCCCAGTTTTCTCATCTGCAAAATGCAGAGTTTTGCCCTGGTCTCATATTCATATCCTGGGGTTCTGGACAGAGCCTTGAGGGTGACCCCGCTTTCTTGGTGCCAGTCAGAATCTCAGGGGAAGAGCTGTGAGCAGCAGAATATCAGCTCGGGTGAGGAGCTGGGGGGCACATTTGGAGGCACTTAGAGAGGGGGTGTCTCTCGAAGAAACCCAACGCCCCCTCTCCTCATGATGGGCCAGGTGCCGGAAGGATCCATCATCCTCCACCGCGGGGACCACACCCCATGGCTCCTGTTGTTTTCTTTCCTTTTTATGGATTTATGAAAGGCAAATTTATCAGTTCCAGTCCCTGGCGTGCATGTGATCTCATTAACCGAGCAGCTGGCTGCGCTCTCGCGGTCAAATCTGAGTGTAAAGTACGGCGGCCCCCACTTGCCAGCAGGTCACGAGAGGCCGTTGGGATTGACCTTTGGCCAAGGGTGGTCAGGACGCAGGCAGGCGGTCAGAACTGCCCTGCGGGCTCCCACCTTAACAGCACAGGCAGGAAGGAGTCCCCGGAAGGCCTGTTCAGTTGTGAGTGTGCTTGTGTTGATTTTCAGGGTTGTGATCTGAACTTGCTGCTCAGTGTGGTCCCCAGGAGAGCTGCCTAGGCTCTGCCCAGGAGCAAAACACAGGCTCCTCCCCAGAGGTACAAGGTGATGGGGTGTCCTGGAGGCCCATGGTGAGCGCTGGGCACCTTTGGGTTGAGAAACACTGCCCAGGTTGGCAGAGGTGGCTGCTTCTCTTGCTTCCTGGGTTTAGGAGCTTGTCCCCGTTTGTGGTGTTTTGACATGTGGTGATTTCACATTTTGGTTATTTTCCATATGTGACGAAGATCCTCCTACACACGTGTATTTTGCTGAATTTGATCATCAAAATGAACTTGCTGAGGCAGAGGGTGTATATGCTTTTGAGTGTAAGAGGTACTGCCGATTGACTGTCCCAATCCCTGGCACTATCTGTAAGAATAGTGTTTCCTAAAATCTCGCCAAAGTTTGCATGCACAACTTGCGAGATGAAAGGAAAGATATAAAGGGAAACCCACCTATTCATAGTTTTGTGTACATTTGTGTGTGTGCGTGTGTGCGTGTGTGTGTGTGTGTGTGTGTGTGTACACACACGTTACCAAACAAAAACAGCAATGTTTGGGAACAAATTTTACCTTCATCACTTCATGGCCACTCAGTGTATTCTCCTTCACATGCATGGGCTGATGCATGAGTTTTGACATTTTGTGTTCCTGTTTTCCAAGACAGCATTTTAGTAGAAGTTTCAAGCCGACGCTCTGATGGGAGTTAGGTGGTGGAGCTTAAATTGGACACGGTTGGCTGGGGCAGGAGGAGAAGATGAGGTGAGGGAGGAGTAGGAATACACAATGACTCCCGGGGTTCGGTATGGGCAGTGTGGTACATTGGCTTTG